TCTGCTGCTGGCATTTTGGTTCAACCATAACACCATCAGGTGCAGTACAGCACTTGATGTAGGACCCTATAAACATTAGCAAGTTAAAAAATGGATATATATATATATATATATATATATATATATATATATATATATATATATATATATATATATATATATATATATATATATATATATATATAAGATATGTTTCCTTTTTGCCAAAAGTCTGCTTGGTATAATATAGTCTACCCATGGGAAATGTTTTTTATAAAGTAATATAAAACGAGCTATGTGTGGTCATTACAAGCTCCTACGGGCTTCAGAGTAGCAATAAAACCTATCCAAAGAAAAAAAATTATATTTTTCCAAACATAAATGTGTAAGGATGCTTTCTGGATAATTATCCAAAGAACAGAGGACATGAGTGGTTCTCAACATTGAAACATTCAATAAACCTTTACCATGTTTAAAGGGTGATTAGGAGGATGTCAAAGGTCAAGCATATGACCATCAAATGCTTAAATGTACAAATTAAACCTTTAGATCAAGATTTCATTTTGCTTTTTTTAACCTGCCACGATATCTAAGCTCAGTCATTTGTTTTGTTTTAATTTAACTGTATAAAGCTTGTTCTCATACTGCTACATTAACTTGTGTTGGCCTGTGCTGATGTTTTTTCAATATTAATACTATCATTATAACGTTATCTTTGATCGTCCAAACAGGTTTACATGTGCACAGATATCTCTCCTTGTCTGGCCAATCCCTCCTTGAGGCAACAATGTCTATGCTATGGACAATACTTAGACAATAAATCACAAGTTACAAAACAAAAAGGACAAAAAATTGCACAAGTAAACATAAACATCATCATTAAGTTGTTGCATCAAATAACGTTTTTTTTTTATTGATGTCTCAGTATGGAGGACCTGGAGAGTCACAGAGAAAGAAGAAGAAATAGAGAATTTTCAAAAAAGTAAAAAAAAAAACAATCCACTGGACTTTGTTACCAAGTTTGAAGACGTTTCACTTCCCACCCAGGAAGCGTTTTCAATTCAAAATGTCAGAAATAGCGTTGAGTTTAGGGCTTTATAGAGTGGACCAGAAAAAACTTCCTGGATGGGAGGCGAATCGTCTTCAAACTTGGAAACAAAGTCCAGTGGATTGTTTTTGGAATGACTATGACCTGGATGACTTCACCAGCAAGAAATACAGTACTTTAAAATTTAACATTAATATAATACAATTAGGGGTCCCATTTGAAAAGCATTTTGTAATTGCATATTTTAAACTGAATTATTATAGAGGCATTAAAATTTGTATTTAATAATCCATTCTTTTAAAAGCTAATTATTTTTACATTTCCATTTTCTTTTTTACTTAAAATTTTCAATTCAAATTTGCGATTGCATCTTTCTTTAACCTCTCAATTGAGCATTTCTATGACCCTTCTGGTCCCAGTGCATTCTCTTGACTGTTTCCCTTTTCAACTAAGCTATTGTGTGAAACTTTGTTGTGTGACACCTGCTCACTTTGTTGCTCGAGACAAAGTGGAAACTCAGAGCCTTTTAAATTGAGCAAAGTAAAAGTTCAATCTTATCAAATTTTTAGAAAAACTTGTCTTCTGAAAGCAGAAGGGATGCATCCAATTTTTTATATTTTTTACTAATTTCTTCCTAAAGAAGATGCATCATTAGCATCTAGAATTTTGATATAGTGAGCCAAAGTTATTCAACGTTATTCATATTGTCATGCCCCAATATGTTGCTTGTTGCTCCATCATCTGAGCTTTATCTATGATTGTTCAACTACTAAAAGCCAAATAGTCCACAAAGATAAAGCATGACAGTGAATCAAAACAATGACAGGTGCAGAGCAAATTTTTGCTCGTGCAGAGTACCTCCAATGGTACATATTGTGCTCTGATCCAAATGTGGCTGTCTACATCCTAGCAGCAACTGTAATTGTTTTAACGTTCTAAGAGACCAGAAGGGTGACAGAAAACTAAATGGAAAAGGGTCACCATTGCACAGGCACCAAAGGGGACATAAAATAGCCAGCGTGGCTAGTTTATACCACGTACATGACATACTAATCTGGAAAGGAGCAGGTAGAGCGTGATTTCAAAGATGGGACTAACAGAGTCAGTGGTAACTGTTTAGAACCAGCTCTTACAGCAGTCAGTTGTTGAAATTTTAACAATATGAACAACTCTTTCAGGCATAATAAAGTCATCAATAAAGTATTCCTCTGCTGCAGCTGTAATCTTGACTTTTATTGTTACAGAAGAAGCGCTGTTGCATTATGGGTCTGCCTCAGGCACTGTGATCGGTCCGTTCTCATTTTAGACCAGAGAGTACTGAGCCCTACTAGACTGAATTATGCTTTGTGTAAGTCAGTCTGCTGGCCAGGCTAAAATTAAATAATAAGACAATGCAATTTTAAAAAAGGATTTAAAAAATGCAAGGTGAAAAATAAGAAGTAAATGCCTTTTTAAATGTTTGATAAGCAAAGGTATTTATAATCAGATTTATGAATTGTACTTTTAAAATCTTATTTAGAAATAGGATTTGAAAATAAATTTTAAAATGCATTATTGGCAATGCATTAATAAATACAATTACTCTTTAGCAAATCAACTTATGTCAGGTTGAGTGGAGGTTTTTAGAGTACCCAAATGCAGAGTCAAATAGGAAGGGATAATTGCTTGCAAAGTATAATGAAAAAGTAAAAATACAAAAAATCCTTAGTCCAGAACAGATAGTTCAAGAACCAAAAAAAAACTAGGAGCCACTATGGAGGAATTAAACAAAAGAATGACGAGGATCCAGCAAAGAGTAACTGAACAGTAGGTGTAAATATGGGAGACAGAAACAATGGGAGGAATAATTAGCTGATAGGGAGCAGGTGTAGACAGAAGTAACTAGAAGGAGGTAAGGGAAAAGAGACTGGCATGAGGGGGCAACAGAGAGCAACTCAAAAAATATAACACTGCCTAAATATAACACAAAAATGGAAAAGAAACCAATTTTCAAGAAAACATAGAATAACATAAATTAAAGTGGGACTGAAAACTTAAAAAAGAAATTCAAACAGAAGTCAATATAGGACACAAGCAGGGCATGTTTTTAAATTGTCGCATTTTTTCATCGACTAGTCTTCATACTGTATAGGGGATGTGAAAACCCCAAACATAGATAAGTATGTGACTAATTCAGCACTATATGCCAGTACTCTGAATGTACTCTCCGCATAAGAGTAAAACTATGTTTGACAAGAAGATCTAACAGCAGTTCTAGAGTGGGTGAATGGCAACCAGCTTGTTTCAACTGTATCTACAACCTATTGTATGGTGATTAGCTCAGATCTGAACATCAGAAAAAATCCTCAGTTATATCTGAAAATCAAAGAAGAATTTCTAAGGATGTATTTGTCTTCAAAAGCAACTAGATTAATAAAACAATCTTGTCAAATCTTTAATACTAGCCAGTGATCTGGTGAAATTCTACAGCTGAAATGATTACCAATGTTTGAAAAATGTAAAATAGAGCATCATGCATTTTTTGTTTGTGATTTCAGAAAAAAATTAATAGAAATACACCAAACTCTCAGCTGGTTAATGATAAGAGAAGTATTACATTATTCTTTCCTTATATTTATAGAGGTATTTCCAACACAAAAACTAATCTTCTCCTTTATGAATACAGTTCTGAAAATCACAACTATAACATAACACATGCTGCAAGAATTTTATTCCCTTCCCAAGTTAAACAGAAACTATGATAAAAGAATAGCACTGTTTAGCTCAAATGTGGAATTTTTTTGATTAAAAGTGTTTCTCCTACCCAAATTTGTTAATTCTACCTGTATTAATTTTTGTTTTATTTTATAGTTTAAAATACAAAAATGTACTAACTGTCCATTTGATTACATCAATTAAAATATTATAGCAGCTGTTATAAGATAATTATTTCTCAGTACTTGAGGAGCTATTTTAACAAGTACTCTTACTGTAATAATGCTTTGGATGACTACTTATTACTTTTACTTGTTCAAAAAACATATTAAAGTAGTGTTACTCTTACTTGAGTAAAAGTTTTGGATGCTGAGCACACCATATTGAAAATCCATTTGTTCATTTTCTGACAAAGCTGGGAAGGTCCTTATTAAACACATTCTGAGTTCTGTTCTTTTCATAAACTACCGATACTATTTCATTTAGTTTTTTTTGTAGTTTTTGTTTTTACTGTACTGGTGGCTCATTTTCCTGTCAGTAGGCTAACAGAAAAGGGGGTATGAGAGAGGGGGAGACATGCTGCAAAAGACCACAGGTTGGCCATGTCAAGGACCAAGGCCTCCGTCTATGGGTCATGCGCACTAATCACTGCGCCACCAAAGCACACCAAAAACTCTAAAAAGATCTAATTTACACAAAAACCTTTGTAACTAACACTATTAAAGATATGGAAATTAATTTAGATGATATGAAGATTTAGGAATTAGCTCATTATAACATAGTATCAATTAAATACAGATGATAGAGAGTAGATAGCTATAGCGGAATATGCTGAAAAAACATGGCTGGATTGTCATTTACAACATAAGGAGTTAATAAGCTGCAACTGTCATAATAATGCCAAATATTCCTTATCATATCACACTAGTGTGTGTCCAGGCATCACTCTGGAAATGCATCATTTTGTGCAAGAATAATAATTGCTGAAAACTGGAAAGACGCTTTTGTTATTATTTGGCTTTTAAAAGCAAATATAAACATTAAAGCTATTACGAATACAAAAATTGTCCCTAAATACAAGAAAAAGTTGTTGCTCTTGTCTGTAAAATTTCCCATAAATAAATAAATAATTACAAGGAAATTGTGTTCTTGTTTCTAATGTAGCTCGAGAGCTTAATGGATTCACGGCTATTTACCATACTGACCTCTCATGCTCAATGCATTACTTAGTGAGTTTATGCTGCAATGCCATGAGTAAGACTACAAACCACAGACTCACCCCTTTTAGCTGCTGAGCCCCAGTGATGTGCTGAAAGACTCTGTCAATCTCCTGCTCGATCCTCCTGGCCCAGTGCATTATCCTGTGGATAAACATTAGAGGCTGACTGTCACACAGCAAAAAAACTATTTAAAAAGACACATGTGTTTGTGTGTCAGTAGCTAACAAGAATGACAAGTGATGGATAAGAGAAAAATGGTTTTCACACAGTACTTGCAAGTACTGATAACCAGGCCGAATTGTTTATAAAATTTGCATCGACTCCAAGCTCAAAAACTAAAACATATTGCTTAATGTAATAAATAATTAACAGGACAAGCATGTCTTTATGCTTACAGGGTGATTCATTAACCCATCCAGGGAACAGAACCCCGAATAACATCTACAGAAATTCTAGGTTAATTTGTAATGTTCCAGCTTAGTTTGGTTTCTGAGAGGCCAAAAAAACAAACAAACAAAGGACCGTCTCCACAAAACTGTTTTCCAAAAAAGGGGATTATTGTATCATGTTAGTAAGTGTGCATCTTGGTAACCAACATATTAAAACTTTGGAAGAGAAGCAAAATTAATCAAAAATGATTGTTGTGCTTTGGGACTATTTTTCTGTATCAGAACCAGGAAAACTTGCTGTCATTAATGTAACCATACATTTTACTGAGCAAGCACACAAAGTTCCCCTCTAAAAGACCCCCCAAAAATAAAAAGACTCCTGTTTTAGTCCGATGTTATCTTTGAGCAACAGCAATAGCGTAAACGCATAGATTGTTATGGTATATCACGGTGTCCATGGCTTTTCTATTTGTAAGAGTGATTGGCTAGCCTGGCCAGCCAGACTGAATTACTGGGAATTTAATTCAGTCTTGTTAGATCTGGCCCGACCAATCATAGCACAACAGAGCGTGATGCTTGGAGTTTTTGCCTCACATTCATAGGTATCTTATTCTGGTTCTAACCTGATGACGCTGACCCTGTTTGTCCCACCTTTGAAATCGAGATGTAGCAGGGCTTCATCAGGCTAATAATACACCACGTATACATCGTACCAGTCTAGCTTGAATTACTGATCAATCTACATTCCCACCCTCATCTATGGTCATGATATCTCGGTAATGACCAAAAGGACTAGATGGCGAATACAGGGTTAATACAGTCCCCTCCAGACCCTCAGTGCCTCAATGTTTGCATATCTTTCATAAATGTATTGTGCAGAGAGTGTGATCTCTTCTACCATCATCTGTCAAGATAGTGGCTTCCGAGTATCAAAATAAAGCGAAATCAAACTAAAAAAGCACTACAAGCTAAAAAAGAAGGTTGACTCTAAAACCTCTGGAGATTATATACGAAAAATATCAATCTTCACCGAACTTTTGTAGAACCATAGTGTCTTTAGTCAGAAGTTTTAATACAGTATTTCTGAATTGAAATGATTGAATTGAAAGTTAATTTTCCTTCAATTTCATAACAATGTATTAATTTACATTAGCTTATCACATAAAATCCAACTGAAACACATTAAAGTGTTTGTGACAACAATGTAAACCTAGTGAATAAATGTTCTCTTTGTCCTAAGATCAAAACATTGCTATCATACACAACACGTAATACATTAAAATATTAAAAAGCATAGTAATTTTCTTTCTATTTTACTTTTTTTCAATTTTGCTATAATTCCTTGTATGTGTCAAACTCTACTTGGTAATAAAGCTTTTTCAGATTCTGAAGAGCATGATCACATCCTACAACAGACTGCAATTTCACTGCAACCCACACATTTTTACACATCCAATCAAAAATATTCTGCACTGTAAGAATTAATGTCTTTTATATTTCTTGAACATCATCTAGAGGTGTGAGCCATGAAAAAGCAGAGAAAAAGCGAAGACATAAGAAATGTCCTTTTCTAATGTCTGAATATCCAATGCTAAATTAGTGGATGTGAACAACTTCTACACATTGGTCTTTTCCACTGTTTTAACTCTCATTTTTTGTGAACTGCACATAGTTGGGCTTTTTACCTTATAAAAAAACAGGAAACACCAGGGAAAAGGCAGGCCCAGAGAACCAACCTCGGTACTTTTAAATTGCCCAGAGAGTGGGTTCATTATCAGTTAGACAGCTCAGAGAAGAATTACAAGACAACGTGACGGATTAATGCCTTGTTGGGCTTGTTCCTACTGTCAGACCAGGCACAAATCTTCTCTCAGCTGCCTAGCAATACAGAAAGATACAGCCTTTTGGATGTTACAAAGTTATTTTAGCTGAGCTGATATACAAAATTCAGATCTGATATTAAAGATCTACATTACATTCCTTTATAGAAATTGCTCTTTAATAAAAGCCATAGAAGTACATGCGAGCATTTTTAACACAGCCTTCTCTCTGCAAAGGCTCATTATAAAGATGCAGCTGAATGTCTTTGCCGTGCAAAATCTAAAAGTAAAATAATCGTCAGCTCGAGGCGATTGAGGCAGCAGGACTAAAAAACAGCTTTATAATAGATCATGAGAAAACAACTTTCCAGCCTCCTCACAACAAAAAATGGAGCAATGTTCTGAATATTTCCATAATGAGATAGATCTAAGACATTATGAGTGATAGAGCTGAGAAGAAAATGCCATACCCTGTAATCTGATTAAATCAAATGTTCAATAAATAATAAATCAGAGACTATTTTCTAATCTGATAACCAGATATCTGCAAACATCTATGACTATATGTTTTTAAAAACATTTTAGGATGAATTTATTTTTTCCTTGTGATGCTGTGCAGCATAGTGATGGAGTTTGGAGCACTGCTGCCTTGTCGCAAGAAGGTTCTGGGTTCAATTCCTGGTCCAGGCTCTTTCTGCATGGAGTTTGCATGGTCTCCCCAAATGCATGCATAGGTTCTCTCCGGGTACTCCGGCTTCCTAACACAATCCAAAAACATGAATGTTGGGTTATTTGGCTTCTCTAAATTTTCCTTGGCCGTGCATGTGTGTTTTCATGGTTGTATGTCTATGTTGTCTGTGTTGCCCTGCGACAGACTTGGACCTGTCCAGGGTGTACCCCGCCTCTCGCACATAGACTGAAAGAGATAGGCACCAGCCCCACAGCAAACCTGACACAATAAGTGAGAGAGGCTGGATGGATGAGGCCTGATGATTGGTACTTAATGAGCTTTTTTTTTATTTATTTAATCTTTATTTAACCAGGAACGTCTGAGCATCCATTTTCACTCACCTCTTTATTACCGGTAGGTATGCTATTTCTAAATTATTCACTTTGCTGCTTGCCCATTCAAATAGGGGCTAGCAGCAAAGAGGTTTCCTAATTATGCTTGTCAAAGATTCAACAATGTGTTTGAAATATTCTTGTTAGAGTTTGTTCAATGTCTGCCTCAAACAGTTGCTACAGGTTTGTCATCTTCCCGTCAATGGTATATACTCCCCCTTTTCCCATATCCCATTCCTGTTTTATTAAATCGAGATTACGCTCACATCATAATGTTCAAGTAACAATTTTGAGCGATTGAGTTAAGCTTTGAGACATGAATCTCTATCTTACTGGAAAAAACTGTTAAAAAGAAAGACATGATCAAATAGTATTCATGAAGGTTGCAGATTTTATTTACTGTAATGCCTGGTTGTAACTAAGGGCCTAAAAGTATAAAACAAAATATCTCACACATTGGTAGTCTTTTTGTTTTCATGGCTATATTGCACCAAATGATTGAATTAGACGTACTTCATGTTGCTTTCATTGAAATATCCTGCAGCTGTTACTTGTTAAAGATAACCTTCATTTGCAAAGCTGGTGTATTTTTGAGTCAGTGAAGTACTATTTTTTTATTATTTTGAACTGTTGTTGCTTACTGTTAGTGGCTTATATTTTGTCGCGTTTTTTTTTTTTTTTTAAGAAAATCCTTAACCCATTAGAAATTATTGTGTGCAGTCTCAAGGCAGAGTTTCTTTCACTACACGTTCTTTTCCTCACAGGTTACACCCCTGGATTATTAAATCCAAAAAGAGTTTAGGTTTCTTAGACAGTTTCCTAAACCAAACTTTCTTAATCTTTTTTAAGAATAATATCTTATATTGCAATATGCAGTGATGAGCAGTTTATGTTACCAAAACTGTTCCGGAATGGCTCTGAACCCTTGACGCCTTTTTCACCCCAGAAATCCCGTGTTTTTAATGCAGTACTGCCCTTGGCCTTTAAGGACACAGGGACTGACTGTTACCACTCAACCTTGCACAGGGGATTCTCCATATTTTCTAAATATAGTAAATCCTGGCAGCTCGTCTAATTTATTCTAATTAAAGAATCTGATTTCCACAAGCCTTGCAGTTATTGGAACATCCATTCAATATCAGTGTCACAACAACTTGTAATGAAGCGTAGCACAATTAGACATTAATATGTACACTGTTAGTATTATGAAAGACGTTTCCTTTCTTAATAAATGCAAATTAGTCAATTATCTCTAATTTAAAACCATGGCAGTATTTGTCTTCAACCTTTGACCACATTTTTTGTTAAAATTGCCAACATTATTTTATAGGGATTCTATTTTATAGGCCGACAACAATTGCATAATTATAAAGTATAATAAATATACGGTTTACAACATTTCAAAAAATAAAATTACAAAGGCTGGAGTGGATTTGAATTCAGCTCCTTTTTACCTGTGCAATTTGATCTCAGGATAAATCCATCTGTTCTACAAAGGCCTTATAAGTTTGTTTAAGAACATTAAAGAATATGTAACATCAAGAAGACTAAGTAACACAGCGGGCGGCTGTTGTTATTGAGTAGTTTTCTCAATAACAATGACTCTACTTAAGATTGGCATAAGAGACGCCATAAGAAGTCCACACCACCACAAACATGGTGGTGGCAGGATAAGGCTGTGGGGGAAAGTTTTACACAGCGGTGACAAGAATCTTGGCTAGATTTATTGGGAGGATGGATAAATTAAGAACAGAGTAATCCTAGAATATAAACAACCAGAGTCTTTTATGTGTAAAAATGGGGCAAAGTTACACCTTCCAGCAGCACAGCAACATTGAAAGTACAACCAGTACTACAGGTGCTGGTCATAAAATTAGAATATCATGAAAAAGTAGATTGATTTCAGTAATTCCATTTAAAAAGTGAAACTTGTATATTATATTCATACATTACATACAAACTCATATATTTCAGATGTTTATTTTGTTTAATTTTGATGATTACAAATGACAACAAATGAAAATCTCAAATTCATCATATCAGAAAATTAGAATATTACTGAAGACCAATAAAAACAAAGGATTTATAGAAATGTTGGCCAACTGAAAAGTATGAACATGAAAAGTATGAGCATGTACAGCACTCAGTATTTAGTTGGGCCTCCTTTGGCCTGTATTACTGCAGCAATGCGGCGTGGCATGGAGTCGATCAGTCTGTGGCACTGCTCAGGTGTTATGATAGCCCAGGTTGCTCTAATAGTGGCTTTTAGCTCTTCTGAATTGTTGGGTCTGGTGTATTGCATCTTCTTCTTCACAATACCCAGATTTTCTATGGGGTTAAGGTCAGGAGAGTTTGCTGGCCAATTAAGAACAGGGATACCATGGTCCTTCAACCAGGTACTGGTAGCTTTGGCACTGTGTGCAGGTGCCAAGTCCTGTTGGAAAATGAAATCTGCATCTCCAAAAAGTTGGTCAGCTGCAGGAAGCATGAAATGCTCTAAAACTTCCTGGTATGTGGCTGCGTTGACCCTGGACCTCAGAAAACACAATGGACCAACACCAGCAGATGACATGGCACCCCAAACCATCACTGACTGTGGAAACTTTACACTGGACTTCAAGCAACGTGGATGAAGTGCCTCTCTTCTTTTCCTCCAGACTCTGGGACTTTGATTTCCAAAGGAAATGCAAAATTTACTTTCATCAGAGAACATGACTTTGGACCACTCACCAGCAGTCCAGTCCTGTTTCTCTTTAGCCCAGGCAAGACGCTTCTGACGCTGTCTGTGGTTCAAGAGTGGCTTGACACAAGGAATGCGACAGCAGAAACCCATGTCTTTCATACGTCTGTGTGTGGTGGTTCTTGAAGCACTCACTCCAGCTGCAGTCCACTCTTTGTGAATCTCCCCCACATTTTTGAATGGGTTTTGTTTCACAATCCTCTCCAGGGTGCGGTTATCTCTCTTGCTTGTACACTTTTTTCGACCACATCTTTTCCTTCCCTTCGCCTCTCTATTAATGTGCTTGGACACTGAGCTCTGTGAACAGCCAGCCTCTTTAGCGATGACCTTTTGTGTCTTGCCCTCCTTGTGCAAGGTGTCGATGGTCGTCTTTTGGACAACTGTCAAGTCAGCAGTCTTCCCCATGATTGTGTAGCCTATAGAACTAGACTGAAAGACCATTTAAAGGCTTTTGCAGGTGGTTTGAGTTAATTAGCTGATTAGAGTGTGGCACCAGGGGCCATCAATTTTGAACCTTTTCACAATATTCTAATTTTCTGATATGATGAATTTGAGATTTTCATTTGTTGTCATTTGTAATCATCAAAATTAAACAAAATAAACATCTGAAATATATGAGTTTGTATGTAATGTATGAATATAATATACAAGTTTCACTTTTTAAATGGAATTACTGAAATCAATCTACTTTTTCATGATATTCTAATTTTATGACCAGCACCTGTACAATGAACTGCATTGGAAAATATAGCTATATGTTGGAATCTATCTATCTTAGCTTAGATGAAGACGATAGGGCGCAGAGCAATATTGCTCCTTTAGAGAACTCAGCAAAAAAAAAAACATCAGAGGAGAAAAGGGAGAAGAAAAAGAGAGCAGTGACTATACAGGTGCTGGTCATAAAATTAGAATATCATGAAAAAGTAGATTGATTTCAGTAATTCCATTTAAAAAGTGAAACTTGTATATTATATTCATACATTACATACAAACTCATATATTTCAGATGTTTATTTTGTTTAATTTTGATGATTACAAATGACAACAAATGAAAATCTCAAATTCATCATATCAGAAAATTAGAATATTGTGAAAAGGTTCAAAATTGATGGCCCCTGGTGCCACACTCTAATCAGCTAATTAACTCAAACCACCTGCAAAAGCCTTTAAATGGTCTTTCAGTCTAGTTCTATAGGCTACACAATCATGGGGAAGACTGCTGACTTGACAGTTGTCCAAAAGACGACCATCGACACCTTGCACAAGGAGGGCAAGACACAAAAGGTCATCGCTAAAGAGGCTGGCTGTTCACAGAGCTCAGTGTCCAAGCACATTAATAGAGAGGCGAAGGGAAGGAAAAGATGTGGTCGAAAAAAGTGTACAAGCAAGAGAGATAACCGCACCCTGGAGAGGATTGTGAAACAAAACCCATTCAAAAATGTGGGGGAGATTCACAAAGAGTGGACTGCAGCTGGAGTGAGTGCTTCAAGAACCACCACACACAGACGTATGAAAGACATGGGTTTCTGCTGTCGCATTCCTTGTGTCAAGCCACTCTTGAACCACAGACAGCGTCAGAAGCGTCTTGCCTGGGCTAAAGAGAAACAGGACTGGACTGCTGGTGAGTGGTCCAAAGTCATGTTCTCTGATGAAAGTAAATTTTGCATTTCCTTTGGAAATCAAAGTCCCAGAGTCTGGAGGAAAAGAAGAGAGGCACTTCATCCACGTTGCTTGAAGTCCAGTGTAAAGTTTCCACAGTCAGTGATGGTTTGGGGTGCCATGTCATCTGCTGGTGTTGGTCCATTGTGTTTTCTGAGGTCCAGGGTCAACGCAGCCACATACCAGGAAGTTTTAGAGCATTTCATGCTTCCTGCAGCTGACCAACTTTTTGGAGATGCAGATTTCATTTTCCAACAGGACTTGGCACCTGCACACAGTGCCAAAGCTACCAGTACCTGGTTGAAGGACCATGGTATCCCTGTTCTTAATTGGCCAGCAAACTCTCCTGACCTTAACCCCATAGAAAATCTGGGTATTGTGAAGAAGAAGATGCAATACACCAGACCCAACAATTCAGAAGAGCTAAAAGCCACTATTAGAGCAACCTGGGCTATCATAACACCTGAGCAGTGCCACAGACTGATCGACTCCATGCCACGCCGCATTGCTGCAGTAATACAGGCCAAAGGAGGCCCAACTAAATACTGAGTGCTGTACATGCTCATACTTTTCATGTTCATACTTTTCAGTTGGCCAACATTTCTATAAATCCTTTGTTTTTATTGGTCTTCAGTAATATTCTAATTTTCTGATATGATGAATTTGAGATTTTCATTTGTTGTCATTTGTAATCATCAAAATTAAACAAAATAAACATCTGAAATATATGAGTTTGTATGTAATGTATGAATATAATATACAAGTTTCACTTTTTAAATGGAATTACTGAAATCAATCTACTTTTTCATGATATTCTAATTTTATGACCAGCACCTGTACACTATTTCCAACACCCTAATTCATCATAAAACACACACACGCTTCCTCAGTCGCCAGCAAACCCCTATGATTTACTGCTCCTGTTCTAATTGGTAAATACAACTTGAATCTCCAGTTGTGATTGGGCAGAAATCCCTCCCTGTAAACCCTGAAGATGAGTTGACCATCTGCTCTTTTCCTCTCTCCAGAGCAGCCCGATTGTTGAGGCTGGAAGAGGGCCGACAGAAAACTGCAGTCCAAAGCAAAGGGCCAGCTGTACTCAACAGTAACAAGTTAAAGGTTGTGCCGAGGTTGATTTAAAAAAAAAAGTAGGAAATCTGGGTAATGGTCATTTAAAAAAGCAGTTTTCATTTGGTAAAGGGAAGGAAAACCACACCTTTCTCTAGCACTAAACATTTTTGTCCAGTAAATATTATGGAAAAATCACATTGCATGATACTTTTTGAGCTTTACAGCTTATTTCTCATAAAATAAAGCCCTCTCAATCTGTAATTTAGCAAATTTTCTAAAAAACAATAAAATACAATAAATGAAATGGATTTAGGAGTGTTATTTTAAACACTACACATTTAGTAGGAGGCTATATGTCAAGAGAGCTTCAGATAAACAAATAATCCAAAATATAATATGAAGATAAATCATAGAGAAGATTAAGCTATAATTTAATTACTATAAGATAAATTCTGCATACCTTAGGTCTTGTTTTCATATCCATGCAAATGGTTAAATATATCTGCTGTATGATGAAGCAGAACACTGCGTGTGCAATAATTAAAGTCCCCAAAAACACAACATACAATTATGTAACAGCAGAAAATGAAGCAGAGTGACAAGTTTCAGCCCTTCAGTGGTCAAACTTGTCTCCTGTCAAACCCCCCCTTTCTCCCACTGAGGTTTACTTACGTGTATTGCTGTGGAAATGTAAGACCCTCTGCTCCAGGCCACGAAGCGCAGAAAATCAGGAGAATTTCTACTGATATTAAGCAAGAGACGCTGCGAGATCTTTTTTCTTTCGCCATTTTCCATTCATATAATAATAATAATTCTCGCCAGCTTGCTCTGGGTGCCTGGATGAGGGGCTCCTGATCGTCTCCTGGGGGTGTTGGAAGAGGGAGAGAGAAGCGATGGGATGCAAATCGACACAATGAGCGAGAAGGTGTCTACGGCTGATCAGTTTCCCGAAGACTTCATATCGGTCTGTGCGCTCAGGTGAAGGAGGAGGAGGCGGGCAGCATCCGTGAAGGCATCGCGGATGGTGGTGGGAGATGCACTACTGCAGCTGCCAAGACACTGCAGAGTCTCTGCTCCCACTCACACACATACTCTCTCTCTCACACACACACACAAACACACACATAGGCTCGCGCGTTCACGACATCTCTTTCTCTCTCCTGGTTCTCCCTTCACGAGCGCTCACGCTCACCAGGCAACAGAGCAGCACCAGCATCCAGTTGGGCTTTATTTATCTCTGCAGAGCCACGTGGGATTTGCCATTTGCTTTATTTTTGGATATGTCACCAAAAGCCCTACATTCCCCCTATTAAACTCAAATAATATTTTTTTAAAAATCAGTTACCTTTTTTTATTTTTTCCAGTGACCCTAATCCTCTTCATATATTATTGGTAAATAAAATCAGATTTTGAAAACTGCTTTAATTGTTTAGGTGTTTTTCTACAGATAAAATAAACAGTAAGACAAAAAAAAGCAGCAGAATAAATATGTTTAAAATTACACATTTGACCCTTGTTTCTGAGAGGCTCAATGAATGAAACATGGCAATCCTGCTTTAAACACTCTTTTCTGCCCTTAGCAAAAAGTAGTTTATTCAAGTATAGTAAAAGTGCACTAATTGCATACTTAAAGTCAAGCAGTGCACTTAGAGTTTACTTATTCCAAACTATATTTCATATACTTAACAAAATAGTCAAGTGTACGTGACTATACTATTGTTTACTTTATTGTTTACTAAAGTACACTTTAGTAAACTTAAAATGTTCCAATTTAGTTCGAAGAAGTATTACTTTAGTAAAACTTCAAGTACACTAAAAGTACATTGTTATACTTTCTAAAATTATACTTAAGTATTCTTAATAGAATTTACTTCAAGTATACTACTTTTTGCTAAGGGTATGTATTTTATTAGGTCCATACTTTAATTATCATAAACATTTACGTTATTATGTTTATTAGTCTATTTCAGTTGTTAATGCTTTTTTATCAAATGTTTGTGTTTTATTATTTATAGGTATTTGGGTAATTGATGAGCGCTCTATGAATAACTTAGATGTGTGAGTCTGTTAAACCTTAATAATACCTGCATGTCAGAACTAATGTTTTCCCAAGTACTGTAGTTTATTTAATTAGGACAGTTCCTCTGTCAGGATAAAAGGTCATTACGTGCGTGGCACAAATTTGGGAATGGAATTAGAGCAGAGATTTAAAAATAGTGTAATATTTTGATAAGGCTCGATCCATTGAAGTCTCATTTAGAGTTGTGTATGATGATGTGATAATGCTGCATAATGCTTCTTTAACTGTGATTCAGGGCCACTTCAACAAAATGTGAGCCTGGTTGGTAAGCGCTGCCTTCTGTAACCCAAATCAACTTCTCTGGTCTGAGTAAGATTACAATTCCTGGTCAAATCTGTTGTCATGTCTCAGGGTTATTTAACACAAATGCATTATGAAGTGTTATTTAAAGAGTTTGTCCCAAGTGATCTCTTCTCAGGAAAAGAATCAGAGAGAGAAAGCTTCAAGATGTAAACACAGAGTTTTCATTAATTCTTATTTTATTTTACCTCAGTGTCGTTTTCTTTTTACCCTGAGGGTCTATTTGTCTTCAAATTTCTATTTACCCCTGCTTTAATAATTCCAGCCTGGTGACATCCCTGTCCCAGATTTTAGATTACCTGCTTTTTGTTTCTCATGATGCTTGGGTTTAATCCATTAAACAGACTCCAGGCTTTTCTGATGGCAGAAAATGTATTTGTTTTTTTCTATTTTTTTATTTTTGAAAAGAAACCTAGATACAAAAAATTCTAATTTATGTTCTTGATGGATAAATTATGGAGTGACAAAGACAGTCAGCAAATGACAAAAACAAGGATGTTCTAATATTCCTAATACTGTAAGAGTTTGTGTAAATATGTTGTTTTAAAAAAAATAAGTTCTGATAAAAGTAAAGAAGAAAGTATTTCACTTAAAATCCAGAAAATCAGACACTACACATTTCACAATGGACATTAAAGCACTTGGAGACAATGAAAGAAAGCAAGAAAAAAGACAGACAGACAGATAGATAGATAATGTGTGGAGGATTAGGGCAGACACAAGTACTAGAGAATGTGCTGGCAAGTATAGTGTAGTACCGTGCCAGAGAAGCCATAGTGTGTGACAGACTACAATTAATCCCTTGTTTAAGGGAGAATCTTGTTTCCATCACAGAAGGTTTCAGTTGCAATTATCGCCAGAGGACAGTTGTAGCTACACTGCAGAGCAGCATGGCAGAGCGAGCCTCCACTCAGCTGTAGGATTTAATTTCTTTGGGGTTTTTTATTCACTGCAGCATCTGTAAGGGCTAGTAGCTCTACCCTGAAGCATGAAACTAAACACTGAGATTCTGCAGATTTAAACACCTGATGTCTTTTAGGTTGCAATGCAACTTCTACAGATTTACAAATTGGTTTTCTCCTTTTTTACATATTATTGATGATTTATTTCATTCTATTTCTAATGCCCTTTAAAGGCATATGTCACTGCCTTTATTGCTGCACGTTTTAGAGAGTGTCAGTAATGGGCCTGAACACCACAGTAGGGTGTGTGGAAAGACTCCATGATGTAGGTCCAATCTCTGCATGTCTCTTAGCTCCCTGCCAGGGCTCCTTTCATAGGTTGACAATACATTTTTACTGAGCCTAAGAATCTGTCGCTGATTTCTTACCAATGAAATAAGATGAACAATCTGCCTGTATGATCTGAATGAATTATCTCTGTAAATACCTTGAGATGACATGTGTTATGAATTGGTACAATATAGTTAAACCATGTTGAACTGAAATAATTACAGGAGCCTCTAAATTTGGCTCCTGGTTAAACTGTGCAAAAAAAACGTATGTTCAAGATTTTTAAACTGAGGTTTTAAGAAAATATCTTCCATCATTAGGACACAATTATACAGTGACGGTAAGAATCTGTGGTACAGTTTATAAAAATTATGGATGTTTTCATGACAACATGACCCTAACAGGTATGGGAGGGAGGTTTTCATCTCCAGTGTGTTTTATCACAAGTTCGGCTTAATGTAGGGGAAATGTGGTCTGACCCAACAAGAGAATATGCGTAATTAATCCTTTTCAAAGAACTAACATCTTGAGGCCCGACTGATGGCGAGGGATGATCAAAACAAGATATAGGAGGCATGTAGCCCATATTCATATTTCTTTAAGATTCTTTTGTTTTGGCTCAGGATCCTAGATCTTCTGTCTGATCTTTTGATGTGGGCCAGGCTGGATATAAAATCATTCTTTGCTGATTAATTTCCATTAAAAAAAAAGAGATAGGGAGCAGGATCATTAACACTTTGGAAATGTAATGGTGAGGAGAAGATTCAAAATTTAAAAAAATGGACCTGTAACAAATGACTCTGCATTCAACCGTAGTGCAGAGGGATGCGGTCTCTATAACAACCATTTAATGCTCTCTACATGCCAACCTGTTGTCTGAGAATAATGCCAAGACATTGACATCTCTAACTTGCTTCACCTCATGGAACACCATTCCCTTTCTTAGATGCTCACTGCACAAGGACATTTAATGCACCATGTCTGATGAGTACAGGTGCTGGTCATAAAATTAGAATATCATGAAAAAGTAGATTGATTTCAGTAATTCCATTTAAAAAGTGAAACTTGTATATTATATTCATACATTACATACAAACTCATATATTTCAGATGTTTATTTTGTTTAATTTTGATGATTACAAATGACAACAAATGAAAATCTCAAATTCATCATATCAGAAAATTAGAATATTACTGAAGACCAATAAAAACAAAGGATTTATAGAAATGTTGGCCAACTGAAAAGTATGAACATGAAAAGTATGAGCATGTACAGCACTCAGTATTTAGTTGGGCCTCCTTTGGCCTGTATTACTGCAGCAATGCGGCGTGGCATGGAGTCGATCAGTCTGTGGCACTGCTCAGGTGTTATGATAGCCCAGGTTGCTCTAATAGTGGCTTTTAGCTCTTCTGAATTGTTGGGTCTGGTGTATTGCATATTCTTCTTCACAATACCCCATAGATTTTCTATGGGGTTAAGGTCAGGAGAGTTTGCTGGCCAATTAAGAACAGGGATACCATGGTCCTTCAACCAGGTACTGGTAGCTTTGGCACTGTGTGCAGGTGCCAAGTCCTGTTGGAAAATGAAATCTGCATCTCCAAAAAGTTGGTCAGCTGCAGGAAGCATGAAGTGCTCTAAAACTTCCTGGTATGTGGCTGCGTTGACCCTGGACCTCAGAAAACACAATGGACCAACACCAGCAGATGACATGACGCCCCAAACCATCACTGACTGTGGAAACTTTACACTGGACTTCAAGCAACGTGGATGAAGTGCCTCTCTTCTTTTCCTCCAGACTCTGGGACCTTGATTTCCAAAGGAAATGCAAAATTTACTTTCATCAGAGAACATGACTTTGGACCACTCACCAGCAGTCCAGTCCTGTTTCTCTTTAGCCCAGGAAAGACGCTTCTGACGCTGTCTGTGGTTCAAGAGTGGCTTGACACAAGGAATGCGACAGCAGAAACCCATGTCTTTCATACGTCTGTGTGTGGTGGTTCTTGAAGCACTCACTCCAGCTGCAGTCCACTCTTTGTGAATCTCCCCCACATTTTTGAATGGGTTTTGTTTCACAATCCTCTCCAGGGTGCGGTTATCTCTCTTGCTTGTACACTTTTTTCGACCACATCTTTTCCTTCCCTTCGCCTCTCTATTAATGTGCTTGGACACTGAGCTCTGTGAACAGCCAGCCTCTTTAGCGATGACCTTTTGTGTCTTGCCCTCCTTGTGCAAGGTGTCGATGGTCGTCTTTTGGACAACTGTCAAGTCAGCAGTCTTCCCCATGATTGTGTAGCCTATAGAACTAGACTGAAAGACCATTTAAAGGCTTTTGCAGGTGGTTTGAGTTAATTAGCTGATTAGAGTGTGGCACCAGGGGCCATCAATTTTGAACCTTTTCACAATATTCTAATTTTCTGATATGATGAATTTGAGATTTTCATTTGTTGTCATTTGTAATCATCAAAATTAAACAAAATAAACATCTGAAATATATGAGTTTGTA